AGGGCTGACCCGGGACCATTGCTGTGAGTCACAGTGCGCAGCATAAAGGTCCTTTCACATCGGATGCAGCATGTGATGCTAATGCTAAATGCTAAGTAAAAGCAAAGGATCCAGAATTTGTTGCTGGCTGCTGAGCTCTGTGGGTTTTTGCAGCAGCTCTACCTGTACTAGATGCACCTGCTCCTTGTCTTTTCTATCTCTGACTTTATGTCCTCTACAAGAGTTTCTGTTTTTTTTTGTGGAAGTCCCTGTATTAACCACGTAGACCTGTGACACAAAAATCACCAAACTGAGACCACAGACTGTTTTCCTTTGTGGTGATGAAGGAAAACGCTGGGTTGGCATGTAAAAGGGGATTTATTCCCTTCAAAGACCTGCAGTTCAAAAAAAGCTCCCCTCCAACAGCCAAACCCATCTGTTCTCTGATTGGATTGTTACATTTGTGATTGACATTACATTGACCAATCAGATGAAAGGAAGGAAAAATAGGGTCAAAATTCTACTTGTAACTAGCAGGGTTTTTTTTTGGCTAAGTCCACACACAAATTCTTTTTACACATACAAAACTGATTTACAAGTGCAAAATATTTATGACCACATATTGAGCCCATAAGTTTACTACCCTACTAACTTTTAACTTGTTGGCTAAACAGACAAGAGTTATCTGTTTAGCCAAAGGTAATCCATCACTCACTGGCAAATGCTGCGAAAAGAAAATACCACGAACCATTACATACCTTCTTTATTTTATTTTCTGTATTTCATGCCACAACTATGAAAGTCAATGCTAACATGGTGTGTTAGTCTATTACACACTGCTCTTGTTGTGCAAGATCTGCAATATGGTATACTATATTTCATATATCGTATGGTTGATTCTGCTTTTTCTAGCTAGCACAAATCCACTAAACAGTAATAATCCTAAACTCTGAAAGTCCAAGCAAAGAGATGGAAAAAGAAGACATAAAAAGAAAAGAACTGTAAGAGAAATATTCAGGCACTTAGAAAAACTCTCAAATCCTTGGCTACACTTTGCTTCATGACATTGTACATGTATTTCACAGACTGATCCTGATCCCATCTTGTGGAGTAGGATATTGTCTTTTGAAGACAAGACCGACAAATTAAAGGGTTTTCAGGTATTTCACAAAACATCCAGGTATTTCACAAAACATCCACATTGCTATTTACATGTGATCCTAGCACTCAATAGCTACATATTCTCACGACGTATTCCCTTAGTCAATTTTATAACCGCTACTGTACAACATGAATTGAACATTCAGATTCAGAGAAAATACATCACTTGTTTGCAGGACAACTTAAAATTATTGTTTTGTGGAGAGAATATAATTTCTTTTTTCCATATGTATCTTTTTTTTTTATCAGTACTGGTTTTCCATCTGGTTTCCATTAGCCTTCAATGCTAATGTGTTTCAATTAGCACAAAGTTATAAAACAAAAACAGAATCATCAGAACAGTGTGGCCTGTTACAAAGGAATGCAATGAAGACATAATTCTGAGACTGAAGGAAAGTACCACCACCAACAATTAGAGTCAGCTGCAACTGACATTTAGTATTGTGCTCCCTTTGCTCAGTACAGACATACAAAGATTGACTCTGATTGACAACAGTTAGGTAAAACAATAGCAATAAACAAAGATGCCACAAACTGAAGGAACAAATGCACAGTACAATATAGCAACCTGTAGTTGTAGCATGTTCTTGACTTTCTAGGGAAAGAAGAAGCAGGAATTTACCAATGGATAGTCTAGTTGTCATCATGTGATCAACATACTATCAGTAATATTCTGGAGGGAAACCTGGAAGTCTTGTCTGATCTCTTCATGGCACCTTTGGCATCATTATAATCTGGAAAATGTAAAAACTTGAAGGCCTGTATCCTCTAGAAAGGCCAAAGCCAGAGTTTATGTTCACGATTAGAGTAATAAAAAACAGAAATAATGATTTATAGAGGGCTTGGGATAGGAGTGAAGAGTAGAGTCAGTTACTACACTAGTCAGATAACCTTCTGCTAACCCAGCGGCTTTCTATACCGAAGCTGAACGCAAGCAAACGTAGATCTTCCACGTCTTTTTTTTGTGTAGAGATCTTAGTTTGGTACAAATTCCCTCCGAGTTCCTTACAGTTCCTGGATAAAATGAGGGGATTGTTCCATCAGGATGTACTGGAAGAAATCCTAAGCTGTTAATGTGGTTGACTTCTGACTCTATGACTCAGACTTTGTCTCATGATTGAGCACTTCCATGAACAAAAGAAACTTCTACAGGGTCCATGACCAAAGTCCCTCATATGTTGGTGTTATTTATCATATCCTACCCCTCAACATTAAGGGTTTTCAATTAAACTGCATTACCAAGCACATTACGTTTCCTGCTGTGGTGGCACTGAAGGCAAGAGTTCATATTCAAAACCAAATACCACACTGGATGTTATTACTTCCAGCCAACTACGCCAAGTTTGTTGATATTTTAAGATCTACTTCTAACCATTAATATGCTAAAATATGAATCAAACGTCTTGAAACATTTGTTTAAAATCAGAAATATGTGTATAAATTCATAATGAACAACTCCCAAACTGAGAGAGATTATTATGAATCCTGTTCTTAACAAGACTTAGAGCCCACTGATTGTATAAAAAACAAGAAAGCTCTTTGAAAGTTGCAATATGATGTCAGGACACATTTAAATTTCACACATTTCACATTTTCAGACAGCCTCTGTAGGAAGACATTCAAACATACATATGTTTCTGCCAAGCATAGCGTGATGTGGATGTGATGGTCCATTTTCAACTTTGGGAAGTTCAATTAATGGCTGGATACAACCACACTCTGCAGCTTTCAAAGCCCCTGAACATGCTTTTACTTCAAACAACGACTTACTTAAAAGGTTTCAAGCTAAGAAAAATGTCAGTCGTGATTTAACAGTGTAAGAACCCAATGACGTTTGCTGGGATGTTTGATCACTCAAATCTAATCAGACCTCGATGAAGCAGATTATTCCACTTTAAATATTCAAAATATTTAAATGAAACACTGACATCATTATAGATTTACTATTTTCATATTTGAAGTTTTCAGCGGTTTTACTCTTTAATCAATAAATTTGCAATTTGTGAAAACACACACACACACACACACACACACACCACAGATAGCTCCATCCTGTACAGGAGCTTAGTTTAGTTAGTTTGTGCATTTTAAGCTGAAGTGACTTAGTTTTGTTTAGTGATTTAAAATGTTTGATAAAAGAAGTTTTTAACATTGCAATGCACAGAAACACCATGAAATATCTAATTGCTGCAGTGATAGTATAGACTGACACAAACACATTCGATCCAACACAAACACATTTGGAAAAAAAAGTCAATTCAAGACTTTGGACATATTTGCAGAAATGGATCATATTCATATTCCAAATGATCTTACTTTGGACTTTGACGTTTCTATGATAGCTTACCAAACAAACCAATGGACCTTCCCATTATTATCTGCAACCAGATAATGCCTAAATCAACAAGCACACTGCAAATGCAAAACATCAGATTTAGTGGTATTAAGCATGGTGTTGGCCTTTACCCACCGTAAGTAACTGCATGAAGACTAGGCTTTAGTTAAGTAGATTTTGGTTAGGCAGTTAGTGGGAAAGAGCTGTTTTCAATTGCATGTCGAGAATCAATACTTTGCTGTTATGGCTACGGTTGATGCTTTTGTTCAGTCTCCATCGGAGGAACTCTTGTATAGTTGTACTAAAGAACAACTCTTGAAACTTGCTGAACATTATGATGTTGACGTTGGAGATAAACGGTTGAAAGATGAGATTAAAGGAGTGTTGAAGGCTGCATTAGTAAAGAAAGGCGTGTTGCCAGGTAAAATGCAGACTGTCTGTGGTCTCAACTGCCGTTGCTTTGTCTTTTGAGCAGCAAAAGGAGTTGTTACTCTTACAAATGGAAAGAGACACTGACTATATGTTGGACAAGTCAGTGTTGGGTGGTTTTATTATTGTAGGGTCTTTACCTTACAATATAAAGCTCATTGCGGCAACTGTTATTGTGGTTTGGTGCAATATAAGGAAAACTGAACTGAACTGGTTGCCAGGAGAACGGTGCTTGTCTGACTGCTTTGTGCCAAGTATACAGTTTAGTGGAGGGGGGGCTATGGTGTGCTATTGTTTTTCAGGAGCTGGGCTCTGCCCTTTAGCCCCAGTGAAACGAACTCTTAATGTTTCTGCATAACAAGATGTTTAGGATAGATTCTTGCTCACTTCGTGGGAACAGTTTGGGGATGTTCCCTACATTTTCCAACATGACTGTGCATCAATGCACAAAGCAAGCTCCCTAAAAACATGGATGAGAGCATATGGTGTGGAAGAATTTGACTGGTCTGCACAGAATCCTGACCTCAACTCAACAGAACACCTTTGGGATGAAACAGAACAGAGACTGTGAGCTGGGCCCTCTCGTCCTGCATCACTGTATGAGCTAACCAAAGCACTTTTTGAAAAATCTTTCAAAAGTTCCCATAAAAACACTACTAAACCTCGTGGAAGCTGTTATAGCTGCAACATTTGGACCGACATCACATTAAACTCTATGGATTAAAAATGGGACGTCACTTAAGTTCATGTGCTTGTGAAAGTGAACCAGTAAATTTAGCAATATGGTGTATTTAATAGCACTTTCTGGCTTTTAAACGCCTTGTTTTTTTTAGATGATTTGATCTTTAGCTATGTTGTTATGGTACCACATATGACTTTACAGGCTTTTAATGTAATGCCTCAATGCCTGACCTGTGCAGTTTATCATGGCAGCACGTCGCTAAAACCATAATAAAATAGCTTGTTATAACAAGATACTCTTGTGTCATAAAAACTTATTATTTGTGCAATTACTTTTTCTACACAAAGGGGGTAGTTTTAAAAATGGTTAGTAAGCTTTTCATAATAAACTTGTAAATAAAATTAAAAAGCCACATTATTGGCTACATTTAATGCAATATCCCAATTATAACCCTACATTTGAAAAGACTTTGTTGTATTGTAGCTACAAAAACCTAAAATTTAAGATTGTCAGCAATCTAGACAGATAGATCAATCAACAGGTAGATCAATCAACAGGTAGATCAATCAACAGATAGATCAATCAACAGGTAGACGGCAAATTAAACAGACAAATGGGAAAAACAGTGTGTCGTGTTTTACAAATAATTTTGCTTTTTTCAGATGTTCCACTGCCTCTACAAAAGTCATCACCATTTAAATATTTAAACCTGAGATTCTAATTTTTCAAGACTTTCTTTGTACTGTAAAAACCAAAGTGTTGGTGCGGCCTTCCTCCTGTCACCTTAGTCATGAGCAAACCCTAAAGACAGACAGTCAAAATACATTTTGATGCTCATATTACATAAAAGTTTGGTATAGTAAATGCTATAAATGTAAATAAACATTTTGGTGTTCACCGGGCTTCTGCTGAACACAGTCACGGGGCCACTGCTGTCAGACAACAGTGCTTATGTCATCAGTCTCGTCTGCTTTTTTCGGCTTACTGGGGAGAGACTTGAGGTACTCCAGATGGCGCCGCGCGTCCTCCTGGTTCTGACGTACATAATACACCACGTATGAAATGACCATAGCAAACCAACCGAACATGGTTACGAGCATAGCATAATCTGTGGTCCTTTTTGCCAAGTTACAGAGATCTATGTCAACCGCCAAGAACGGCTGTCCCTCCTGGTCGTGGAGCTCCGAGCTTCTGCAGAGAACCCGGGCAGCAGCCTCGTGGTTATGGGCCATTCCTCCAATAGCCTGCTGAAGGGCGCAGTCGCAATGCCAGGGGTTATCGTTCACAATAATCCGGGCCTTCAGTCGAGCAAAGGCATCCTTGTGTACGCTAGTGATGCGATTGTGGGAAAGGTCCAGCACCTGTAAAGTTGCCTCTATGCCAGTGAAGGCACCTTCCCCTAAAGTCTCCACTGCATTGTAAGAAAGGTTTAGCTCCCTCAAAAACCTAAGTCCATGGAAGGCGAGATCGGGCACGCTGCCGATCTGGTTATGGTCCAGCCTCAGCAAGACAGTGTCAACTGGTAGACTGGGAGGAATCTCTTTGAGGCGGGACTGACTGCAGGTAACATTGAAGCCATGGAGGTGGGAATCGCGTTGGCATATGCAGCCCTTTGGACACATGCTGGCCGAGGGAAAGCACAAGGCCATTAGGACAAGGCTCTGAAGGAGCAGGCACATGGGGATGGAGCGCGACAGCCACAAGTCCAGCAGAGTCATGCTGACCGACTGTCAGCAGCATCCCGCCTCGGGCCACAGCACCACCACTGGTCGCTTACACACATTGCATAGTAGCGACTGGCTTTCGCAATTTACCCACTGAAGATATGGAAGCG